GAAGAAGGATCCCACTTACTAGGTACTTCAAGAATAAAGAACGACAATCGAGAACAGTCTCCAACTTCTCTCTTGCTCTAACCTCGACATAGACGTTTCTGTTTACAATACCCTTGTGCCGTGCGAGGTTGTTAGGTGGAACATTTATTAGTCAACGGCCTAACGTTTCGACGTTTTCGTCTTCTTCAGAGGCCTAAGGCAACTCGAGACTATTTGCACAGTATCCAAAAAGCGCATACCCCCTGGCAAATGTTTTTCAAAACCCATAATTTGAAACATAACTCGCCAAGGTTCCACCGATCAAGCGTATATAAAATCCGCTATCGCCACAAGCGACTGTCAGTAGCGAATGAGATTTATTGGCTGTCCCCCTTATACTTGCGATAAGGAAAATCGCCTTGTAATGCTACTGAGTCACAAGTCGCAGTGCGGTATATATGGCAAAAGATCGTTGTTTATGGATGGGCACTCATCTCTACCATTCATTTTAGGATTTCTTTGGAAAATCCAGAACGCCACTAATGCCTTTCTCGCTCAAATCTCCATCTCCTGCGCTAATATCGTGCACTTGACTTCAAAGTTTTGCCGTTATGCTCCTCAATTTTATGCCTACCAAGCGCCGTTCTTGGGCTGCCACGCCTCATACTAGCTAGGTGTTCTTTTACAACCTCGCACGGCACAAGAGTATTGCAATCGACAATCGAGAGTTTACAGCAAAACCTCAAAGAAGCAGTCTGTTAAAACATGCTTACAGAATGAATTTCAGCACGTTCTTACGCATGTGCAAGGACAAACACGATTTCATCAACGCCTTTGATTCAGGACTGTTATTAAATAATTTCTTCATGCGAAACTATGCCGATATCGTATGTACATCAAAATTTTTAATGCATTTTCATCAGTGTTGGAATTTGTACTCGAGTTCCACGGTCACACGCGTGCACGCGGAAGTGGCTCTGCGGTAATTACCGTAGTCATCGTCAAGTCATACCATAATACTGAACGCTCCTACCCGCTGTGAATGTGGCACAATGTTCGGGTTCCCAGTACCACACTAGCTTGAAGGCATACCTCGCAATGGCATAAGTTTGCATAGCCACGTCAGGTGAACATTGGTAGTGGAACGAAAAAGGTCTGCTTGTTCTATCCTTGGGTTCAAACCAACTTTTAATCTCCATAGTCGAAAACAGCATTCGAAACTTAAACGATTATTATGGGTCTCAATCCAAAGTTCCATGGTAAGTAGCCTATGCTTTTGGGGTGAGAGAGACTGAACTCTCGTAATTAGCTCTGTGAACGAGAGACAAGGTCATTTTCTACGTGTCCTTCAATACACTGTGGGTAACCAACCATCAGTAATGTGTAATGCCCACTGGAGCTCGTGCCAGAAGTTTGCTCACCCCATTTATCCCGCCCCGTTGGAAACAGTAGGGAATCTTAACCAGTTTTGTCAACAAATCAATGATCGACTGAAAACGTTCAGTTTAGCCTTGGATTCGGAGCGCAACAGCTCTGAATCGCATCAGAACTAAACTGAAACCACCTCGAATGAATAGAGGGTATGATCAAAAAGTTCTGTATCTCATTCAGGATCTGGATAGAGAAGATGACGAGGATTTATCCGATGACCTCCTATATTTGAATATTGAAAAGTTTAACAATGGTACTGATAAAGTGCGAAAGCAAGTGGAAGTACGATATATATTCGATACTATTTGAATGATCTTTCCAGCGCAGCTTTAAACTATCTTAGTAAGAGGGTTCCAAAGAGCTGAAAAAAGTTTTGTAAAAAGCCGCGGCAAGACAACTAATTACGAATCGGAACATCTAACCAAGTTCTCATTCTGATGTACTTCACGGTCATTAAAGCGCTCTGACCAAGGAAGGGTAGTCTACTTAGCTTGGAACGTTGAAAGGAGACCCAGATAAATCGATAGAGTCTTGAATGCTGTTTACGAAACTGGAAATAAAACTGCAAAATGGTTCTCCTTCAAAAGTTAGGGGGCCCGAGTTTTGCTCGACAGTAGTATCAATTGGATATGCGAACACGTCGCTTAGATATCAAGTGCCCAAGTGACCTCGTGGTAGTGGTCTCGCTTCATGGGCGTAAGATGAGAGTTTGCTTCCCCCAATTGCCCGCACTTT